GGTGACTTAATTTGAGCTAAAGATGAACTCTTGTGTGTACTGGGATTAGGAGCATTTCAGCACACAATAAGACTGATCTGGGGTCAGCTGGCAAAGAGATACAAAGGAGGATCGGAGAGGAAGAAAAAGTTCGGACTTACCTGTGGATCATCACCGACAGCAGCACATAGGAGAAAAGAGAAAAATGATTAGAAGCAGTTTAGAAGTGTATAACACTTGTTATAGATATGCTTTTTTTAATGAATGCTTCGCGTGTTTCTATGTACAGCACTGGTGTGTTTAGCCCTGGGCTGTGGGCCACATCACCAGATTTCTGTGTCTGTCTTTTAATGAGGCCTTCCTGGTTTATACATCTCCTCTCCCTACAGCAAATTATCATCTGCTAATCTGGATTTACACAACGACTACACGGTAATGATGAGTGTGTTTCTGTGTGTGCCTGTATAAAACCCTCCAAAAAAAAAAAAGAAAGACAGTTATGCAAGAGTTTGGTCTGTGAAGCCTCTCAAAAATTTCACCAAGCATCCCACAAAGAGAAATGTGTCCTCAAATACCCTTTTCTTAAAGCCTGCCTTAATAAACACATCTTCAATAATGTGGAGCCTAATTCTGGTTCTGCCACAGCTGTGGCGTGCCAAGGTATGGTTAATATTTAGGTCACTGTGCTCCTGGTCCAAATATGTGACACAGTGACACACTGTAGATACCAAAAACTACATCACACGTAAAACTCTGCTGAAGACTAATCCCCAAATCTCCAAACTTCCATGTTAACACGGTGCAGGCACACTTGCCAAAGGAAAACATCTGGATAAACAAGAAGACATTGAGTGCACCTTCATCTGGTGGCTTGATGATCTATAAATAACAACCAATAAGGAGTACAGTTAACAACTGAGACCTAGATTCCACTGTCTGATGGGGTCCCACCAGCTGCAGGTTGGTTCCTTATTCGAAATGTTGCCTTTTATGCTTTTCTATGACAGTAAATTAAATATCTAAGTTTTGCGATGCTTCTCTGACATGGGTGCTTCCAAGTGCCCCTTATCAAAAAGGGAAAAAACCAACAAAAAAAACAAAACAAATGGTGGTAAAACAGCTCACACACAGAATAGGAAAGCTCCTGGAAAACATTTAACTATCCCTTTATAAAGTTTAATTGGCATTGTGATATTTTGTGACGTTTTGGAGATCAGGGGTCAGACTGATTTTGCAGTTGCTCCAAATCCACAGTTTGTTTTTTGCAAGATGGTGGCACTGTCTGGTACTGAGCTAATAAATCAAACAATGACATTATATGAAAAAAAAAACAAAAAAACCCCCAGATAATAAATACAGCGGTCGTATGCAGCCTAGAATTGGGACACAGCATAAGCCGTTGGATCCTTACTGGATCCTTCAGCACAGGTCAGGTGCCAGCTACAGGAGGAAATTTATTTAATGAACTGATTGTTTTTGTTTTACTTTTATTCCCTTAGAATTCTTGGTAATGACATATTTATTTACATTTGTTTAAATTAATTTGATATACAAAAGAACTGGGACCCTATCACCTGTATTTCAATTCCTAAAACAGGAAGGAATAGTTGTTACAAAATATAGCTATATGTTACATTTGCTCAAAGTTTTTTTAAGAATCTTAATAAAGTTAATAAATGTCAAATTGAGCCACACCAGGAGCACTTTTGCCATTTTCTGCCTTGTTTTTGTTTTGTTTTTTTTAACTGAAACCTGCAGGTTTTTGGTAACATGCTTTTCGGGCCACATTTCCTCTCATTT